TGTCATGTAAGGTGGCATGTAGTCTTTACTTTGTCCCGTTGTTTGCGTATACCCTGAAACAAATGTGTATGGTTTCCTCTCCCTGTGTCATCCCAGAAACAATTTATAGCAAACTGAACGTCGTCTTTAACATCATATCCTTTACCTTTTGTCATTGCTGACCAATCCCAATATCTATGCTTATGCCAACCTGCTTCAGATGTACTTAAATTATGTAGTGACTGTGCGCAGGTAGGTTTTCACCTGAAATCGTTTTACTTCCACCTGTTTCCTTTGAAGAGTTTGCACAATACAAAAACCTGTCGACTATTTGAGTCCAAGTTCCAAAACCAAGTACTACTTCTGGTCTGGTAGAGTTCATTGACGTATAAATAGAACCTATAGGATATACTGTTTGAAGTATTTCTGTCTTTAATGTTTGAAGCTCTGTTTTGTCTGCTTTTGTATTCCTTAACTCTGTAACACCTTTCTCAAGCTCTTTCAACTGTTGTCCATCTTCCATTAAACCTCTGGTATGACTTGAAACCGTTTGTGTCAACATATCTACAGTTTCTTTGTCAGCTTTCTTTTCAACATCTGCTTTTGTTGCATATGTTGCATCTGCTCTGTCATGTTCTTCTTGAACTTTTTCAATGACATACTCTTTGTCAGCTTTGTTGTCAACATCTGCTTTTGTTGCATATGTTGCATCTGCTCTGTCATGTTCTTCTTGAACTTTTTCAATGACATACTCTTTGTCAGCTTTGTTGTCAATATCTGCTTTCAAAAGAAGTTCTTTTATAGGCTTCTCGTTTAAGGTTCCTTTTGTTGGATTTATACAAACAGTATGGTTCTTACTGTCTTGAAACAGAAACTCATCTGTCAATGGGTTTAATGTCAGTTTTAAGTTTCCTTCTTTCAATGACTCAGATATCTTAGAATAGTTTGAAAAGTTTGTTGTGTTCTTATTTAGAGCTTGCAAAATGAGTTGTCGGTTGTGTTGTATTTCTCTCATAGACGCTGTTTCATTTGACATTTTTATTCTAGATAAAATATGCTTCCAATAGAAAAAGAAACTTCTAGAGTTGCTACAACTAAACCATTAGATGAACTTTTTACGAATGTCGGTCAAAAGTTTGAGACAGAGACCGTAAAGCATGAAGGCTATCGCTTTGACTACCCACTAAGATGGTTAAGAGACCCATCCGTCACAAAAGCTATTGGCTTTCGTAGAATGAAGTTCATTTCAGAAGCCATACATGGTTTCCCATTTACGGTCGCTTTTGAAGTTCGATACTATAACAAAAAAAACGTACGTATGAGAAATTTGAACAGGGAAAATTTTACAAGTGAATTTGCTTGTAAACTTAGAAACAACTCTTCAAGCTTTTCAAGAAAAAATAAACGATATCTATCTCGAATATGCAAACCAGTTTAACATTGACGAAGGAGAGTACCATCTCGATATTATATATGACAGGAAAAATGCAACTGTTAAATTCAATAGAATAGAAGACCTTGGAGAAAACGTTTATATTTCTACAAAATATAACAACTTGGCATGGTATAGATTTTTGAGGATGTTAAATCAGCCTGCAGAATATCCAGTACACCCGGACTTTTATGAAGTCGAAAACCCTAATGGAACATATGAAAATGTTTTCGACTCAGATGCTATTATAGTTCATGCTTCATTTTCTGGTGCACAAAACTCTTTTTTATGCTTGGCAAATGACTTTTACGAAAAACCTACAAAGCTATATGAACCACCGAGTGGAAGTATTTCAGACTTTCAAGTATGGTTTACAACAGATGGAAGAAAGAGAATAGTTCCATTATACCATGCGTTTTACTTAGAACTTAGTTTCATATACAACTACTATCGAACGGTAAAATATAATTTTAATACGGTTGAGGTGTTGGATTGGTTGCCAACTTGACTGTGGTGCAGGTTCAGGCTGTTGTATAACAGGAGCTTGTTCTTCTGGTTCAGGTCTTTAGGTATAATACCAACGAACTGACCTACTCTTTACCAATATTTTTGACTCCGTTCCAAATTCCTCTTCCGACAGATTTTATTCCATTCCATATACCTCTTCCAACTCTTCTGAAGAAGCTTCCAATACTACTGAAGAAACCCATTTTACTATATGTAAAAATCTAATGTCCGCCTAGTCTCTTACGTTTCCTTCTGAGTTCCATAGCATTCTTTAACTGGAGCTCATACATTCTATTTCTCCTCTGGTAGAAAACATACTCTGGTCAACTCCTGTGTTCGCGTCATCTGCATAGAGTTGTTTATATCCCACTTCAGGGTTTGTATAAAACTCTTTCCATCTCATATTTGCATACCATGGTGGCAAACCTAACGCAGCGTCATTTGAACATGGCAGTTTGCATTTGTACATCTGTTGGCACTTGACCATAGTTTGCCATTGCAGTTTGTATTCTAACTTCATTTGGAATATTCTCTGGGTTTGGTTGTCCAGGTTGCTGTGCATTCGCTAAGTTCTGTGCGTCCATTTAATATTAGATAAAAATATCTCTTACGAGTACATATACTGGACATTTGCAGGCATTGGTTCATCTTCATATTCTCTGTACTTTTCTGCCACGTCAAATAAGTAAATGACACAATGGAAAAAACCTAAAACAAGTAGTCCTATTTCAAACCACATTTACTTACCAATAAAATTTCTTTGTTATGACACTTTCTCCGGTTTATAGGACCTCTCTCATATTCTATCTTATCGTATCTAAAATCATACTCATGTATATCCTCTAACCATCTCATAACGGTTTCCAAACCACTTTTATCGGATGTAAAGTAAAAGCATGGATGGTTATGTATAACGTCTAAAGTTTCTAAAGAGTCTCTCAAAGTCCAGTCTACTTGGTATTGAAAATCATATGTGTTATAGAACGGCGGGTCCACTATAAAGAAAACATTTTCCTTGTCTTTATATTTTTCATACAACTCTGTCCAACGACATCTCACAAACTCTATACCCTCAGTATATTTTTCTATGTTCTCTTTGAAAACCTTTGTATAGTTAAGATATAAAACGTTTGACATAAGTGTTTCAATGTCATGAACTCTTATAGAACCACTATACAATAGTCTAGAAGATATACTATCCCAGTCAATATACTCTGCTTTTTTCAAAACCTCTCTGACAGTATTTTTCTTATCTAATGGTATACGTTCCATCTTACCTATAGGTATCTTTTCTTTCAACTCACTCAATATTTTGTTTGTGTCTGGTATATGTTTGAGACGGTTCATATAGTTGTCGAAGTCATTGCATATAATCTTTGAGTCTGGGAATACAATATGGCACAAATGAGATATATAGAAACTTCCACCGAACAAATCTACAAATGTTAGACCATTCGGTAGTTTCTTAAGTTCTCTCAATAGAATATCTTTACATCTACTCTTATTTCCAAAGAAGGGTAACGGTGGTTTTGTAAAATTCATTTTATATACAATAAAAATGTTTTTTCCCTGAAAAGTGACAGAAAAGTGACAAAACATCTTCGGGGCTAGAGGGCACGAAGTGCCTGGAAGCCCCAATGCCTTTTTTTTTTTTTTTTCAATCTGGCATGTGGATATTCATTTTGAGATTGGGACAAAGTTGCAATTCGGCACTTTTTGTAAAAAAAATGGGGTCATACTCATAATGAATAGAGACTTATAGCCAAGTCTTGATATCATGCAGGGAGAATATACATTGATAAGCAATTATATTTTATAGTAGTAGTATTCAGAAATTCTTACAATTTACAATACAATTTTCAAAAATGGATAAAGACTAATAGCCAAGTCTTGATATCATGCAGGGAGAATATACATTGATAAGCAATTATATTTTATAGTAGTAGTATTCAGAAATTCTTACAATTTACAATACAATTTTCAAAAATGGATAAAGACTAATAGCCAAGTCTTGATATCATGCAGGGAGAATATACATTGATAAGCAATTGTATTTTATAGTAGTAGTATTCAGAAATTCTTACAATTTACAATACAATTTTCAAAAATGGATAAAGACTAATAGCCAAGTCTTGATATCATGCAGGGAGAATATACATTGATAAGCAATTATATTTTATAGTAGTAGTATTCAGAAATTCTTACAATTTACAATACAATTTTCAAAAATGGATAAAGACTAATAGCCAAGTCTTGATATCATGCAGGGAGAATATACATTGATAAGCAATTATATTTTATAGTAGTAGTATTCAGAAATTCTTACAATTTACAATACAATTTTCAAAAATGGATAAAGACTAATAGCCAAGTCTTGATATCATGCAGGGAGAATATACATTGATAAGCAATTATATTTTATAGTAGTAGTATTCAGAAATTCTTACAATTTACAATACAATTTTCAAAAATGGATAAAGACTAATAGCCAAGTCTTGATATCATGCAGGGAGAATATACATTGATAAGCAATTATATTTTATAGTAGTAGTATTCAGAAATTCTTACAATTTACAATACAATTTTCAAAAATGGATAAAGACTAATAGCCAAGTCTTGATATCATGCAGGGAGAATATACATTGATAAGCAATTATATTTTATAGTAGTAGTATTCAGAAATTCTTACAATTTACAATACAATTTTCAAAAATGGATAAAGACTAATAGCCAAGTCTTGATATCATGCAGGGAGAATATACATTGATAAGCAATTATATTTTATAGTAGTAGTATTCAGAAATTCTTACAATTTACAATACAATTTTCAAAAATGGATAAAGACTAATAGCCAAGTCTTGATATCATGAGGGAGACTCTCTACAAATACAAAAATTGATTATCATAAGGAAATACAAATTTATCAATTTTCATGTGAAAATTACATAAATTTGTTCTCCAATAAATAGCAATAATTTGAATGTTATATTAAGTAATATAGCTTCAGGTAAATAAGCTTACACTTCAAAAATATACTGTTTATTCATTAATTTTAAAAAAAGTCCAAATTATCTAATCTTGCTTACTCTTCCTTTAAACTTCTTTGTGCCAAATTTAATATTGCCTTCAAAGATGGAATAAGGACATTAGGTTCAATCCTTCGGCTTTCGACAATTTCCAAAATGTGTTGAATTAATTTCAAACATTCATCGTGTTTTGAAGCTCTTTGCTCAACAATCTGATTACCTGCCCTTGTAAGAATTCTTACTGCTCTTTCTTCATTCAAAACATTAGCGACTTGAACCTTAATAATCGCATTTGGAATCACAACAGTGATGAGAGTTATGACGATGTCATCAATGCGCTCATTTTTCTTACCCAAGAAAAATGTTTGCTTTAATTGATGAAAGTGTGATTCCGCAATGTTATTCGTGGAATCACCTTCTCCACGATATAACATCATCCAATGTTCTTTGGTTCTTCTCCATTGTTTATCGAAATACTTCAAAGCGCGCGGTTCTTCTTCTTCTAACATTGTTGTCAAGAACTCATATGTTTCATCAGACTCTTCAGCCAGCTTTTCTGCATTCGTTGCATCTGCACGTAATGTCAAAAAGTCCATTGCTAAATAGAAGTTCTCAAAATTCTGTGGATTGTCAAAATAGCTTCCAACTTTTGCACATGCGCGTAAAACATGCACAGCGCACCAACTGAGCTGCGCAAGAGGAAATCCGTCCTCAATTGCGCGAGCAATGTTTAGCGCACAGTCAGCGCTCCAATGCTGTGGATCCAGGTGCGCAAACTCACAGAATTTCACCAAACATTCTTGAATTTTTTCAGATGTCTGAGGGTTCACTAAAAAATAGCAAAAGGGGAAAATTGTGTTTTGACTTGTTTTCATTGTTACTGCAAACAATTGGATCTTTCCTTTAATTAAAGAATGAGTGGAATCGACGTGGAGAGGGTTATCAATGCTATGCACCAATTCTTTTGCAGCAAAAGGTGCATATATATTTGATTGTAAACTCGGAAAAAATCTCCATTGTAATCAAATTGAACGAGATCATCTGGGCACTCTTCCTGTAAATTATTCAAAAATGCTTCCAAAGAAGTGTAAGGATCGTTTGATAATCTTTGTGCAATAATCTCATCAAGGCGATAAAATTTGTGCTTTAAAGCATCAGTAGACTGCGCGAAAAGTTTCATCGTTTCTTTGTTATTCGTATCAATTCCGAACTTATCAAAAAATGCTTTTTGAGCAAGAAATTGCTTTCCACCGTTTTTAATATAAAGTTCGATCCATTTTTGATAAAATTTACTCGCGTAATGTGAACCCATTTCAACTTCTATATGATGGCAATGTTATTCATTAACTTTGCTTATAGTAAACACTCCATTTTGTTCTTCAACCCTAAATTTTGCCTTGCATAGGGGATACGAACATGAATAAGTGACATATTGCTTTGGAGATCCCGTTCTTCTTCTGTATGGGACACCGCCCTTGACTTCCTGTTTAATACCAAAAGCAATAAGCTCCTCTAAGTCCACCGAAATCATAAAAATGAAGTGATTTTGAAAAGAGTTAACAAAATTCAAATCACATCAAAAACAAAAACACATAAAAAATATTTTATTATACTCATTCGAAATTAAAAATAATAAAATTTATATATATTAATTTCATTAAATCAAGGTTAAAAATCTCACCGGAAAAATAACCTCAGTGTGATAAATTTATCACCGGAAAAATTTACAATAAGGTTAATACCGAAAATATCGAAAAATCAACATTTAAGGTTAATTTAAGAGTATGCACTTTTGTCACCTACTCTATTCATTTTTTGAAAGAACCAGAAACTTTACCGGTTTATGGAATAATTGATGACAAAAGTCGTTATTTGTTAGCATTGAAATTGCTTCGTAACAAAAGTTCAACAGAAACTTCAAAAGTGGCAATTGCAACAGTTCAAAAATATGGAGCACCTTTCTGTTTCTGGTCAGATAACGGTAAAGAAAATGAGGGAGAGTTCACAAAATTTTTGAGTACTTATGACATTCAAATCAGAAAATCAGCTCCATACATGCCACGTCAAAATGGCAAAATTGAACGCCTCTGGCCATCACTGGACAAAAATGCTCCAAAGTCTTCAGAATTTGAGAGCATCAATCAGGAATTGGAAGAATTCAGGCAAAAATACAATGACATGCCACATGGCGCTCATCCAAAAATTGGAGTTCGACCATACACTCCAAGAGAGGTTTACAACAAATTTAAGAAATGGACCAAGGATGATAAACCGCTCTGGAAAAAATGTGTTAATAAGCAGTGGGAAGTTGAAGAGATTCCAAACTATTGAAATATTCTATATTTTTTTTCAAAAATTCTCATTCAAATTTGAATTTGGTTTTCAAAATTATGAATAAACATTATTTTTATTAAACTTGATTTTTAGCTCTGAAGAATCAAAAGAATTTAGCGAGAAAGAATATGCAGCTCACATAGGGGTAGATAAAGATATATCTCGAAAAAAATTGAATTTATTGTAAAGAATGAAGAAGTTCATTTTAAGATTGAGTTGATTTTCAACCAAAACGAGAGAGCATGCAGGCAAATGAAATTCGAAAAGTGAAAGGAATGACATATTGCAAAAGAAAAGATTCAAATAACGCAAGCGAAATATAGATCAGTTAAAATCACAATAAAATTTCGATCTTTTCTACAGGGAACTAAAAGTGAGAAAACTTGTTCGCAATGCGAAATGATTGCGAACAAGTTTTCTCACTTCAGCGAGGGAATTGTTCCTTATGATGCATACATTATAAATATATACATCATAAGGAACAATTCCCTCTAGATAGCTGGGAAACTTTCTCTAAATAACTTATCATTTGGAGAAAGTTTCCCAGCTATCTACTGGGAACTAAAGGCTATGAGGCACTAATATATAATCAGTGCCTCATAGCCTTTAGTTTGTTATTAAAAACGAGAAAACTTGTTCGAAATGATAAACAATTTCGAACAAGTTTTCTCGTTTTAAGGAGGGAATTGTTCCTTATGATGCATACATTATAAATATATACATCATAAGGAACAATTCCCTCTAGATAGCTGGGAAACTTTCTCTAAATAACTTATCATTTGGAGAAAGTTTCCCAGCTATCTACTGGGAACTAAAGGCTATGAGGCACTAATATATAATCAGTGCCTCATAGCCTTTAGTTTGTTATTAAAAACGAGAAAACTTGTTCGAAATGATAAACAATTTCGAACAAGTTTTCTCGTTTTAAGGAGGGAATTGTTCCTTATGATGCATACATTATAAATATATACATCATAAGGAACAATTCCCTCTAGATAGCTGGGAAACTTTCTCTAAATAACTTATCATTTGGAGAAAGTTTCCCAGCTATCTACTGGGAACTAAAGGCTATGAGGCACTAATATATAATCAGTGCCTCATAGCCTTTAGTTTGTTATTAAAAACGAGAAAACTTGTTCGAAATGATAAACAATTTCGAACAAGTTTTCTCGTTTTAAGGAGGGAATTGTTCCTTATGATGCATACATTATAAATATATACATCATAAGGAACAATTCCCTCTAGATAGCTAGGAAACCCTAAATTAACTATTAATCTTTGAGATATTTTTTATTGAGGTTAATACGTTTTTCTAAATAATTAAAATGTAAAATTTTGATTATGAACTCATCTCTAATATTTTGGCTCTTTAATATATTTGAATCATGATCTTTGAGAAGAGTTCTCAAAAGTATTCACAAAAGCTATTTTTCCTTGAAATTTAAAAATCCTGTTTATCATATATTACCGAATTCAATTCCCTACATATTTCAAAATATTCTATGAACATTTCAATTTTTGAAAAAAACATATTTTTTCCAAATATATTTATTATCATATTTCTAATAATATTTCCTAAAGCGTCACTTTTTACTTCCTCGACGATTATTTCTCTCTCAAAAAATTCAATAGCTTACATTTTGACAGAACTTAATATGTAACACCTCATCTGATCTATACAAAATTTACCACCAGAATAAAAGTGACGATGATACCTGGAAATGAAGGTTAATTAAATCGGCATTGGCAAAAAATCTTAAATTATAATTCAAGGCCATGAACAATTGATTTCAATTTGCTTCGCTAATAAAAATTGAAAATAAATTTTAAAATTAAAAAAAAGAGTTTATCTTGTATAAACTATATGGTATGAACTCATGGATCTGTTGGAAATTTCTCCAAATCCCCTCTGATTCTTCATTTGTGATTGAATAGCTGAAAGATTTCACATTTTTGTGCAGAATGAAAATGTTTATTATATAAGTTATAATACAAATTTAATATTCAAAATAGATTATGCATCCCACGGTTCCCAATAACCATGTGCCCATTCCCAAATGAATTCTTCTACGTATGGATTTGCATATGGAAGGCACCCCCAAGCATCTTCTAGTTTGTAATACCTTTTTCGTGTTTTATAATCAAAAATAAGGGATTTGAACATATCTAAATCATTGGGGGCATACTGAAGAGGAAACTTTGAAATGATATCTCTTTTTCTAATATTTCGGGTATTTTCTATGACTTTTTACGCTGTTTTCACATTACCACTTATTGTTGCATAATGTAAAGGTATCTTCCCTTCATTATCACTTATTTCAAAATCTGCTCTCCCAGTCAACCACTTTACAAAATTCGTGTTACCATTAATTGCTGCATAATGAAGAGCAGTCTTCTCTTCATTGTCTTGCATGTTGACGAGTGATGATAACGAAAAATTAATAAGATCAAAATCAACATCACAAAAATATATTGCAGCATAATGTAACATTACTCAGATAGCGATAGCGACTAATTATAATTGATCTAGCACAGTAAAGAATTCCTTGGTATTTTTTATCGATTTCAGGCAATGCAGAAAGGATGAATTCACAAACAAAAGGGTAATCAATAGTTTTAACTATGAATCCTTAGTTAGTATCCCTAAGTCGTGTACTGTGGCACTGCGCGCCTCCGTACACCACTTAGCGGTTTTGATACTTTACGAAACCAGTAACGTATATTTTACAACACAACCGTAACACCAACTTAACCTTAAATATTTACAAAACTATCTGACACATAAACGACTTCACTAACGACTTCACTAATGATTTTACTAACGACTTCACTACCGTCCTCACTAAATAAAAATAACCTTATTTTTATTTTTTTAAATTTTTTATTTCATTACAAAGACATGTCCGACTACATTTACTATGACTCTTTCCCAGAACGTTTCCGTGAACTATTCAAAACTCAAGTAAAACTGAGAAACATGCATTTTAACAAAGACAGACCCATTGACGATGAAAGAAACCCTGAATATATTACAATCCCTTATGATGCAAAGTTCATTGCATACATTCCTTATGGTCGCAGAGGAACGAAAACTATTTCAACAAAGAATAAAAATTATTTCTGGAGCGATGAAGAAAATTGCCTTATCTACATAAATGCATACTTAAATAAAGCTACATATTGTACAAAAGAAGGTTGGACTGGATTTGAGCTCTACATATACGACGACGATGGAAACAGACGCTGTGTATACCCATACGATAATATGTACCATTGTTTTCATCAAGCATTAAACGAATACATAGTCAGTAAGGGTCTCATTCCTGTTGAGTAGATATGTTATATTTTTGTTCTGTCATTTATATAAAAATTAATGATATCACCACCCTCACACGTATGAAAACATAGCGCAAAAATAAATTTAGGTGAAGTGGTGAGATTTCACCTCTTTTTTCACCTCTTTTTTCACCCACTTGAATTCATTGCTTTATAACTCTCTTCCTTGGTTTCTTTTTAGTTGCTTTCTTCACGTCTGTCTCCAACTTGACTGTCTTTCTTCTTCGTCCGTAATGATACCAGTTACTTCCACCAGTCAATGGGTCAAATGGTCTTTCGTAAGGGTTTCCATACATTCCATAGGGACCATACGGAAGAACTACTGGTGGAGGAAGAGTTCCATCGACTCTATTTAAATGCATTGTTTCACCTTTCATCTGGTCATTAAAGTCTTTTGCATGTTTTGCAAACTCATCGTCCTTTCCTAAAGCATTTTCTGACTCAGTCGCAACCAAATTGGATGCTTTATTTATGAGCCCTATTTTATTTAATCTTAACTTCTTTGCAACCCAGCCTCCAATCTTTCCTTTATTTGCATCTAATGTCTTCGAAACCCTTCCTCCACTCATTTTATTTACTGCGTCATAAGCTCCAAGTGCTTTTGCTCCAAATGCTAATGCTTTTGTTCCCATTGCGCCTAAAGCTGCCCAAGCTACCATTTACACCATATTAAAATCATCTCTCTTCAATATTATCTCATAAAAGTTCTCGTTACTGGAGAAAGTCAATGAAACATAAACATTCTCACGTGCTTCGCCCTCACCGCTTTGCGGTCTATCTAACTTCTTTCTTATATCTATACGCTTCAAAATGTCTGAACAATTGCTAACATCTTCTACAACAGTTATTTCATCATGAACGACCTTTAAGAACAAGCTCATTTAATATGCTATTAAAATCATCTCAATAATGAGTCCATCCTTTCCGTCTTTAGGTAGCACAACATCTTTCATTGAAGAAGGTTCGACAAGTCTTATGTTAAACTTACTGACAAAGTTTGTTATACTATAATGCTTCGGCGGCGAATACATGTAGTTTGAAAGACATAATATAGATTCTTCAGCAAATTCACTTATACTGGATTTTATAACAATGTTCTCACGAGACCAAATACCACCAATTGACAATCTTGTAAGCAATCCTGCTGAACCTTCTACTGTAAACGTCGATGGTAACATTCCACGAAGGTCATCTATTGACATCGTTGAGTCACTGTATTTAAATATTTTCTTAAAGCAATCGTCATTATCTAACCATGCAATAGCTTTGAAGTTTTCATTCGAATATACATCTGCTTCATTAAATGTAAAACCTGACTTCTTTGCAGAGATGACTTTAAAATCTATTGAGTTTGTTTCAAAATTATATGCTATGGTAACTTCTGAAGGTAATGGATGTCCTTCCGCAGTCAGTTGTTCTCTCACTACCGTTTGAAGCTTTGTGTTAAAAACTTTCATGTCATCTCCTGTGTCTAGGTTCACATACACAGCAACAGGAAAACTATCTTGCTTCTTTGTTTCATCATTATACCTCAAAACATTAAAGTTCTTCAATAATATTGTCCTTCCTGCTGGAATACTTCTAACTTGTCTTATTTCAATAGCTTTCTCACCTCCTACATACTCTACCCAGTGTCTTGGATATTCATAAGTATACTGACTTTCTTGAATTTTGGTTGGTTTCATCATAACGTGTTCATAGTATATCTTTATACTCTTGTCAGTTAGACTCGGTGCTATGTTCTGAATATTTCTGACTTGCATTTTTAATGGAGATAAAATGAAGCATTTAATACATGACGTAGATGAAGACATGAATGAAACTACAGACAAACTTAACTCTTCTCTCATTCTTCCTTTCAGTAAGGACTATGAGTTCTGTTCAAATGGTGTTTATTTCTATTGTGGAAAGATGGGGTCAGGTAAGACATTTAACCTCATTCGTCATATACTCATAACAGAGCGTTTAGGTCAAGATTCATATTATGACCAAATCATTATATCAGCAACTTCAGACTCTATGGACTCAACAGCGAAAACATTTATGTCAAAAGTTCAAGCCTCTGTCGTTAAAGTTCCAGATAGCGAACTCATTGAATTTCTTCAACGTTACATTCGACGTAAGAGGAAATATTATGCCATCGTTGAATTTATACAGTCAGGAATGCAAAAGACTTCAGAAGAGATGGAAAGAATTATTGACAAACACCACTTACGTCAATACTCAGGAGTTTACGATATGAAACGACTTACAAACTACATTCTGTCAAAACTTTCAAAATACCCCTTCAAAAAGTATCCTTCAAACACTCTGCTCGTTTGCGACGACTTCGCCGGAAAAGGTTTAGTGTCAAAGCCTGACTCACCATTAGCTAACATCATTACTAAAGTCAGACATTACCACTTAACTGTAGCAATACTTATGCAAACATGGAGGTTTTTGCTTTAAACATAAAACGTCTCATAACTGACTTCGTTATCTTTCAAGGTTTCTCACGCTATGATATTGAACTCATTTGGAAACAGTCAGGTATAACATTACCTTTTGAAGAAATTTGGGAAGCATATAAGTCTCTCATCTCTCCTCGTTCATACCTTGAGATTCATATCATGACTAATACCATTAAAGTCAAAAATATTCCATGGGAACGACCAACATTGTTTTAAAGTTTAACCTTCAATTGACTGATGGTAAACAAATTCCATGCATCTCTGTCGCCATTTCTGTTAATATTTTTGCTGTCATTCATATCATCCACTTCCCCATCCGTTAGCTTTGAGGATATGCGTTAGAATAGCTGTTCTTAAATGAAGGCTTTTCACCTTTTAGCGCATAAACTCTATAACTTTCTGCATACTTTATGTTTGAACCTCCTGAGCCATCATTGACATAAATTTTTTAGGCTTCCACCCTTTGTTCATGTTCCTGCTTCTTCCCTTAGCTCTTTTGTTCAGTAGTTCTACATCTTTATACACAGCACCTGTCTCAGTGAATTCAACAATATTTTCATTCGTTAGCTTTACATTCAAACCCTTGTCGAGTATATTGTTCATTTCATACATATAAAAGGTTTTTATTCTATATGAAATGAGAAGCAAATCCATCTTAGCTGGTGCCGTTAATGTTCCAATTGAACCAACATCAAATGTTGACTCACGAACGACAAACAATATTGTCATAAAGAACTATAGTTCGGAGTGTTTGAAAGAAAAAGAACCAGAACTTAAGTCGGGACCTTCGGTCTTGGCGCATGGCGCCGTGAATTTAAACTCAGCTTCAAACGCTAACGCTACATCAGATGTTAAGTTAGAGTATCCACCACTGGACCAAATTCTTTCAAGAGAAGCCAACGACAACCCTTACACAAATGTTCAAACAAATCCTTCAGATAACGTAGACCATTACCTTCTTCAGTTATATCAAACTATCTTACTCAAAGACGATAAGAAGCTTTTGACAAATCTTATAAGCAAGAACCAAATAATTCTAACAAAGGAGGACCTTGAAAATGTTATATCACGAATAACAGGGAAACAATGTGTCATTGACTATCTCGACCCTGAAATCGAATGCTGTGGTCAAACGCCACCATTCATGAAAATAGGTAACATCCGCATCATTGAAATACCAGGTACTCCAGGAGTTGAGTTTAAGTATAAATATTCGAACGAGTATACAAAACTTTCAACAGAATATAAATTATGTTTGAAATATGTTTTAGTAAATTAAAGCAGTCAGGAGGGCTCTTTGAGCCCATCTTGGCGCTTTGCGCCGTTAGTCAAAAAAATTTCAAGTTAGCAATTTGTAATATCTATCCAAAACTTCTTCAACAGTATCGAACTCATCTTCATAATGCAAACCTAATCTTATTGACTTGGTGCAGTTCTCACTAACACAATATAGCGCTTTGCGCTCGGCGCCTTTGACGCCTTTTTCTGTTCTCTTGACTGACATAACTAACTCATTTGTTTCATCAAACAGCAACAACCAAAGTTCATGACCTAATACATAACATTCATACTTTATATTTTTAGCTCTGAGTTCTCTTGTAAGCTGTTGCATTTAATATTTTCTAAAAGTCTACTTCAACAGTCATTCGCACTGGTGCTTCAGTTCTACAGGCTCTCCTTGAAAGTCAACTAGTCTGAATTGCATGTCTTTCAAATTATGAGGACTAATGCGAACCCATTTACCTAAATGAGTTGCTATGACAGGAACGTTTGGAATGAACATTGAATTTACTTCATAACAGAAAGACTTATATTCTACTGAACCTTTAACTATTAACTCCTGAAATACCTGTGACATTAGCTATTTTTGACTCAACGTATAAACAATTACCATAACTACGTATGGAACAGATTTCATCTCAATCGTTTTGTCAACACTTTTCAAAGGACATGTCATATGGTATGCTCCCAGAAGCAATTGAACTCTATGACTCATTCGTGTTATCTTAAACTCCTTCGCATAACTGAACTTCAAAACTCCTGCAATAAGTTTAACATTCATTAAGTTTTCTTCGTTCTCCTTGTTTATTGTAGTATTTATGAGCGCATTTAACACTCCAGCTAATGTTTCCATCTTATATTCTACATTATTGTGAAATCTTATTTCGTGCTTCTTTCCATCTATTTCAATCTCTATGAAATCTGTTTCATCTGTTATGACAAAAGTTGCGATAGTATTGAAGTCAACAACTCTGAAAGCAAGTGCTTCATTCTGAAGACCTAAAGCTTTACTGTTCCGTATTCGTCAGTACTTTGCAAATAGAACAACATTTTATTCTCATTAAAATATGACTATTGCTGCATATGCGTATGAAACAAATGAAGCAAGAAGAGCACATGAACTAGTAAACGAAAACTCAACTTTAACCATTGAAGGCAATGATTTAGTCATTGACGATGGAAAAACTAAAAAAGTCATTGATTTCGATACTTTTAACACTTATGACCCATTCATTACAATAAGTAAAGTTCCTCATCATAAATGATGGAACGGTGCAATATATAAATTCTACAGTAGATGCCTCATTAGTGAAAGTACTGAATGTTCTCATTGAATTGTTAAAGAGCTTTCGATTTGACGACAACATTAAATGCCTAAAGAATTTAGTCATGAATGAGAAACAAATATTAGGAGTTGCTGGTAGCAGTAATGATGTACACCTTATGACATTAGAATATTATAACGAACATAAAGATGAACTGAAAGGAGAGAAGGGTGACACCGGACCACAAGGAATACAAGGACCTCAAGGAATACAAGGACCTCAAGGAATACAAGGACTCAAGGCGAAAACGTTTTGATGGAAAGGATGGAAAGGATGGAAAAACTGCTAAATCATGGATATGGGACCTTATAAATACTGGTTTAACAGCTGCTTCATATGGAGTTCTTCAATACCAAATCGGAAAGATATGGGCTGTACTTGGTGAAGAAGCTTTAGATGACGTCAAAAATGCTTTGAACTTCATTTCAAATGGTTCGGATACTATTAAAACTTTATCTGGTTGGATGCAAGAAACAAGGAGTCAAATAGATACTGTAAGACGTATAGCAAACAATGCACGTACGGGATTGGATACTTTACGAAAAGCACAAAATACACTAAAGGAAGCAAATGATATTCTTGGCTCAGTATCAGACATGCATGAAGATTGGCTTAAAGGTATTGACAAATCTTTAAAAAATCACAGTCAGTCTATTGCTGACTACAAGAAAAGTATAGATTTTTTACATAGTGCTATGGACGTACATGATGGAAGCATAAGGAACTTACTTAATGCTAACAATAACTTACCAGGAACTATTAAAGCATTTATAAAGTCCTTTGTAAAACCCGGTGCTCTAACATTTAGGTCTTTGAGAGCAAGAGCATTGAAGTCAAGAGATGCAGAAACTCCAGAAGAACCTACAGAAGGAACTGAAACAACAGAAACTCCAGAGGAGCCACCAAAACCAACAGCTAATGAAATATTGTTCGAATATTTTCCAAGGTACTCTGTTCTCATTGCATACATTCAAGAAATACTTAAGAAAGCAGACTTGACTTTAGGAGATGATGAAAGTTCTGTATATCTTTCGTTCCAGTTTCAAATAGCAGAACTTTTGAGACAGATATGCTTAATGTATGACAACATCTCTGATTTCACAAGATATGATGACGACCATGACCCCGAACATGGTGAAGAAGAAGTTTTACAAACATCCATTAAGACAGGAAAGGTTTTAACTCAAAGTCTCATTATTGACACCAAAGATGCGAAGTGGACGTTCTTCAAGAGCTGAAGAAAAATACTTCTTCGGGGGTGGTGGTAGGCATGAACTTGAAATAAATGAGATAGAAGAGAAATTAGCCGAAAAAGCAGATAAAGAACATAAACACAATATCTCCGATATAAATGAACTTCAAGCTACATTAAATAGTAAAGCGGACAAAAAATGAACTTGACGCAATGAACAAAGTTTTGAAATCTCATAAACACAATATCTCCGATATAAATGAACTTCAAAGCTACATTAAATAGTAAAGCGGACAAAAACCATGTTCATTATATAAGTTCAGATGAACAGATTATAACGGACTATCATGGATATTTAACACGAAGTGAAATGAAGACAAAAAATGTTAATGAAAGAAGATATAAATTCATTTCGTGCTAAAGGTTATGACATAACTGTACTGTACAGTATGATGTAGCTAAAGCACCAGAAGCATTTGGTTATACCGTGAAATTTATGCTTCTACTTTCAATGTTAACGGTGTATTAGTTGAACCAAGATTTACTTTGAGAGTTAAGTCAAAAATAACTTTTGAAGATGCTATTAAAAGTAAAGCTGACAAAGTTGAACTCGAAGCAATGAACAAAGTTTTGAAATCTCATAAACACAATATCTCCGATATAAATGAACTTCAAAGCTCATTAGACAGTAAAGCTGACAAAATCATACACATAATCCTTCACTACTGTTAGAGCAGACGACATAATATTGAACTATACCCTTGGTTCAAGTGCACCTTTAGAGAATCCAAGTACAAGCGTAAAAGATACACTAAAACTCCTTAAATAACAAATGTATGAATATCGAAGGTCATGTCAGAAACTTTGAAACACATGAACTACCAGCAATGTTAGATAAAAAAGCAAATAAGACTCATACACATACAAGTTTTACAACTGTTGCTATAGAAAGTATTGAAGGAACGGTTTGAAGAAACTGGTGGGGATGCATTATATTGTAAACCTCCTAACTTTCCACAAGGTTTAACATCGGATGACGACATAACGACGATGAAAAACATTAGATGTAAAGATGTTTATGTCATGAAGGATGAACATAATATTAAATTCACTGCTCAAGATTTATATGACAAGAAAGCAGACAAAACAGAGCTTCAAACATTAAAGACAGAAATACTTCAAACATTATATCCTATAGGCTCTATTTATACGTCAATGAACTCAACAAATCCAGCAACAGTTTTAGGTTTTGGTACATGGCAGCAGATTGTAGACAAATTCTTATACTGTGCTAACTCTTCAAAGCAAAACAGGAGGTTCGAAAAAATTACTGAAGCAAACCTTCCACCGCACACTCATACAGGAACTACAAACACAACAGGTAGTCATTCACATTCAATAACAAAAAGAGGTTATACAAATCTCTGCAGCAGGTTCGGATAGACAGGGAATGCATAGATATGATATTTCAAGTGACCCAGTAGATTCAAGCGCAGTATTTTCTGTGGAACCGCAGGAAATCATGCCCATACTTTCACAACAAATCCAACAGGGTCGGGTGCAGATTACATGCCACCATTTGTGACTGTATTTGCATGGTACCGCGTTCAATGAACGCACTTGAGCCTAGAATAAAATCTTTAACTTTACATAAATGAGCTTGAAAGAAAGTATTCGAACAACATCCATGGAGGTCATTTAAGAAATTCAATGAAGCTGCAAAGAGTTGGGGATTTACTAACAGAGCTGAAGTGAAAAGGTTCTTTGACAAAAATGTTGTACATCAAACAAAAATAAACCCTTACGACTACTTTTTACCAATTTACTCCAACACTCCTGACGCATACCAATTTGACACTCTTCATTCAAAGCAGAAAAGGAGGACATAAACCATTCCTCATCTTCATTAATGTTAACACTCGCAAAGCTTTGCGTATATAATGAAGAAATAAAGGAACTCATGAAGTGTTAAGAGTTTTACAAAAGTTTGTTAGCAGAACATAGCCCAAGTATTTTAACATCAGACCAAGACGGTGCATACCTCAGCAACGAAATCACAGAATTTCTCATTAAGCATAACATAACTCACTACACTACTGAAGACCATAACCATAACATACTCGGTATCATTAACCGCTTCATAAGGACTCTCAGAGATTTAAATCAAGAGCGAGACTTTACCGAAGAAGAAACAATGA